AAAGCACTGGGAATGGAGCAAACAGAACACAATTAAAGAGAATGTTGACATATCGTGATAAATGTAACTAATGTCACTGAACAATTTGTGCAGAAATTGTTAAATGGGAACATAACTTGCTGTGTAAACTTTCACCAAAAACTCAACAAAATATTATTTTAAAAAAATATATATTGAAAATCAATTGAAAAAAAAATAAACACCCATGTAACTCCCAAGTAGACTGATTCATGGAACATCACTAACACTATAGAAGTCAGTTACCAATCCTTTCCTGATAACACCACCCTCCCATACCAGCAATAACCACAAGTTTGACTTTTATTATAATCATGCACTTGCTTTTCTAGGCAAGTCCCAAATCCCTGGGTCAGTCATTAGGGGATGATGAACCCAGGATTCACAGGTCAGATGGCAGGCTGCTGGCTCACGGCTGTCAAGGCCAACAATCCAAGATCAGCAAATAAGATGGCAGCCTGCTGGCCCCAGTGTCCAGAACTGGAGATCAGATGATGATGAGCTGAATCCTGGATCCAGGGTAGAGCAAAAGCCAGTGAACTTTGCCAGAAAGTCTGCATATATTGGATGCGGGCCACACCCCCAAGAAAACTCCTTTTTGACAGATTGGCTACTCACAGCCGATCCCATCATGGAGGTGCTCACATTATATTAGATCTCATCATGGCAGTAATTATGTCATTATATGACTGCCAAAGTACATCATAACTGACAAGCCACTGAGAATCATGGCCCAGACAAGTTGACACACAATCTTAAAGTTCACACTACCTAAGCGTCATTCAGATTGGAAGTCTTGAAGGGAAAGTCTTTGGTAACAATAGACCGACTATTGTCCTGGACTCCTGCCTCTCATCTAAGCAGGAATTTTAGCACTATCTTATTTTCTCCTAAGTGAAGTTTAATAGGATCCCCGCCTTAAAATGGGTTCACAGGGAAAATGAAGTTGGGGAAAGAAGAGAGAATGCTGCAAGGAAAAGAAAAACTCCCCCTGTTGGGATTAATCTTGGGGAAAAAACATACTTTTGACCTAGATAGACTATATTCCAAACCAGTTCTCAGTTTGCCCAGGTAGTCTTGAAGAAATAAATTATGTAGTATATGATTAGTAGGTAAAAATATTCTTTGTCCTCAGAACATTTATTACAACTCTTACAGAGGCCAGCCTCTGAATTTGGATCAAGGCATGCATTTCAGAGGAGAAAATAAGCAAAATAAGTTTGGGAAAATGTGACTGGAGCTGTCTAGCAGGAGCAGA